GTCTTCATTGTACAGAATGATTTTTTTCATGTGGATTTTCTTTCCAAAGTAGTAATAAGAATCTGGAACACATTCTTCACGAGATTATAGCATTTTTAAAGTGGTCAAATTTTGAGGCTAAAAAGGTCAACAATGCTCCTGTTAAGAGTTATATTTTTAAAAAATACCCATTCTTTTTTCCCCATTGAACAAAATCAACAATAGTTTCCCTTACAACTTCTTTGGTATCTTTAGTAAGATTTGACAGTGTTAAGTTAATCTTTGCAAGCAAAGCCCTTATGCTTTATGTAACTGTCACAATATGTTTTAACAAAATGCCTTTTATGTAGCAAACAGCCTCGGACCAAGGTGCATTTATTTTGCAAAATCTTAGAAGAGGAGCAATGTTTAAATGTTCAGCCCCTGGGACTTATGCAATAGGCTGGAAAAGGGAGCAGCCAGTTCACTGGAGCTTTGTCTCCGAGGCTTGTTGTTGTTTGAGGTTTTAGAGATTGACCCACAAAAAGGCTTTGCCATTAAAGCATTGAGAATTGTACGCAGCTAGATTATGCTTGTGGCTGTCAAATCACCAAAAAAAAAGTCATTCACTGAGGCTAAATTAGTTTTAGTCAATGTAATTAATTTAACCCTTAGCTTTAGAAATAGAGGTGGTCTGGCTTCTAATTTCCTGTGGCTAATACAAAGCAAGAATGTAAAGACATGGAAACTGAAGACCTCCGGTAACTAACTTTAGCCAGATGCTTTGTTCCGCTTCCGTCTTAAATGCTTTGTTTCAATTATAGCCAGAAAATATATAAATAAGCCATTTCTTTTAGGATGGTTGGACCACAAAACCTTTTTTAGTTAATTGTCTAGCGAGTTTCCAAATGAGTTCACTTGGGTTGGCTTATTGGATAGTGCTGTGTGCTGTCATGTGGGAGATCCAGCTTAAAGAGAGGAACTCAGGGCAGACCATCACCATGTCACCTCTGTTGAAGGAGATGATTAATGTAGCATGTCTCAGAGGTGGGCCAGAATTTGTCGCCTTTGAAGTATTTGTTAATAATAAATAACTAAGCACTGGATGAGGTACACCACATGTTGTGATAGGCATGTGAAGGACCCATGGATATTGAAAGATGTGTGATGGGCAGTGTTGAGCATTGTAGCAGTGGATATATATCTACAGGTTTTGTATCTGTTGTTCTGGCACAGTCTGGTGCTGCTTTGAATTGGTGTATCCTGGTCGGTGGGGAGCTTGCTTCTGATGATGAAGTTGAAGAGGTTGCAGGGTTGTCTGATGGTCAAAAGAGGATTCAGGACAGATTTTTTTTTCAGGATGTGGTCCCCATCAAGTATGAGTTGTAACTGTTTGATGATACCCTGTATGGGTTCCAGTATCAGGTGTGCTATCAGAGGGGGTTTAATTTCTGTATAGAAGCAGGTTCTTTCAGGGTACTTGAGTGTTCCATTCCAGGGTGTGATCTACTTTTCTGGTGGATTGGTTTTGTTAAGTGTAGTAAGGTATATATCCCGGACTTTCTCATCAGAGCATATTCTATTGTATCTGAGTGCCTGGCCATAGATAACAGATTTCTTGTTGTGTTTGGGGTAGTTACTGGATCTGTGAAGGTAGGTATAGTGATCCTTGGGTTTCTTGTACATAGTTGTCTGTAGGGTTTCATTGTTGTAGCTGATCATTGTGTCTAAGATGTTGATGATAGTATGAAAGTGTTCTATAGAGACTTTAATGGATGGGGTTGAAATTGTGGTGGAAATCTATGAGGGATAGGGTTTAGGTCATCTCACCAGAGGACAAAAATATGATTGCTTGTATCTCATTGGTTTATCGTTGGTTTTGTGGTGTATTTGTCCAGAAATTCTTCTTCAAGGTGGTCCATAAAGAAGTTGGTATACTGGGGAGTCATCCTACTATCCATGGTTATTCCCATGGTTTAGACAAAGTGTGGGTTTGTTGAATATGAAAATGTGAGAGGTAAGGATGAAATGGATAAGTTTGTGGATATGTTTGGGGTGGATATCTGAGGGTCGTTCATTATCTTGTGGCAGGCAGTGATGCTGTCGTTGAGAGGGATTTTGCTATATATGGAGGTGATATCAGTGGTGGCAAGGATGGTGTTCTGAGCAGGGCCGGTTTTAGACACCAGCACTCCAAGCGTGTGCTTGGGGAGGCACTTTCCAAGGGGCGGCACTCTGGCTCCTTTTTTTTTTTCCTTGGGGCACAAAAAGACAGGAGCCGGCCCTGAGTGGAGGTGAGCTGCGACAGTGGGGGGCGCGGGGAAGGCTGCAGGAAGTAACCCTGGGGGGGGGGAAGGGGAACCGCTCCCCCCCCCACGCTCTCCTCCGCTCCACTGTCGCCTGCTCCCCCGAGCGCGCCGCTGCCGCTCCGCTTCTCCCCCCTCCCTTCCCACCCAGGTAGGAGGGGAAATGCGGCGCACCCAGGGGAGGAGGCAGGGCCAGGGATTTGGGGAAGGGGTTGGAATGGGGCGGGGCCGGGGGGGCACGGGACATTTTTTTTGCTTGGGGTGGCAAAAATCTTGGAGCCAGCCCTGGTTCTGAGGGAGGTTGTTAATGTTGCAGAGTTTCTGGAGCAAGTCGGTTGTGTCCTGAAGGAATCTCGGCTCTTTGTGAGGATGGTTTCTGTTAGTCCTGATATTGCTTCTGTAAGAGTGCCGTGACCAGATATGATGGGTCTGCCTGGATTCCCTTGCTTGTGTATCTTGGAAAGTGTATACAAGTTCCATGGGGTAGGGTTATGGAGGGAAGATGTTATAGAATTTCTCTTAGAGTTGTTTGCGGAAGGATTTAATGATATCCTTATTTACCTGGGTAAATTGTGATGTGGTGTCTTCTTTTTTTGTTCTTTATAGTAGATGATGTTGGAGAGTTGTCATTTGGTCTGGTTAATGTAGTCATCACAGTTAAGGACTACGATGGTGCCCCTTTTGTCTGCTCCTTTGTTCACTATTTGTCGGTTCAAGTTCAAGGACTGTATAGCTGTCCTTTTAGCGGTGTAGAGATTGTGGTGGATGTGGCATTTGTTACAGATTTCACAGTCAATTTTTTTTCCTGAAGCAATCAATGTAATGATCAAGAATGTGGTTTCACCCGCTGTGAGTGAACTGTCAGATGATTCTTTTTTCTTATGTTTATGACTGGCTGTGAGATCATGGTAATTGTGGTGGTGTCATCATTATTGTGAAATAATTCTTTTAGACAGAGTCAGTGGAAGAATTCTTGTAGGTCTCCACATGTTGCAAGGTGTGCTGTGTTACCATACTAAGTTTTATGGGTCCTACACATGCCTATCACAACACATGGTGCATCTCATCCAGTGCACTAAATGCCCCAATAACAACTACGCTCTGGAATGAACACACCAGAAAATGAGAAAAGACAAAACCACCAGTCACCTGTGTGTGAATCCTTTTCACAATGCAATCACTCTATGCCTGACCTCTCAGTCCTCTTCTTCATAAGAAACCTGCGCGACACCATCAAAAGATGAGCCTAGGACAGGGGTTCGGCAACCTACGGCATGCATGCCAAAGGTGGCATGTGAGCTGATTTTTAATGGCATGCTGAGGTCCCGGCCGCCGGCCCCGCTCAGCCCGCTGCCGGCCTGGGTGAAGGGAACCCCAGGCTGGTAGCGGGCTGAGCGGAACCGGCGGCTGAGACCCCAGCTGGCAGAAGCCGGCAGCCGGAATCCCACACTGGCCCTGCTCAGCCTGCTGCCAGACCAGGGTCCCGGCCTCCGGTCCTGCTCAGCCCACTGCTGGCCAGGATGGACAGAACTCCAGACCGGCAGCGGGCTGAACCGCTCAGCCCACTGATGCTCTGGGGAGTTCTGGCTGCTGGCCCCTTGCCAGCCGGGGCCCTGGCTGCCGGGACCCCGGCTGGCAAGGGGCTGGCAGCCGGAACCTAGAAGTTGAAAGTAAGGCGGATCGTGCACGCTCAGAGCCGGCTGATGCTGGGGTGCTCCGCTGCGGGTGGAGGCACGGCGCGTGGCGCGCTCCCAGCTGGGATCCTGCTGGCTGCCGGAACTCTCCTACAGGCTGGTGCTGGCGGCCCCGTGCACCGGACTCAGCAGCAGGCAGTAAGGCAAGTGGAAGGGGCCAGCGGGAGGCACGGTGGAGGTGTCCGCATCCCAGCCTGTCCTGCTGCCCCTCTCTCGCCACTGTGGCTGGATACCAGGGCACTACAGGCACGTGCCGTCCCTGCAGCGCACAGCTGCAGCCCCTCGGGGGAAGGGGAAGGGAGCGACAGGTCAGGGGGTCTTCTGCCACTGCCCCCCATTTGCCTGCAGATGCAGTGCCCTTATACAGCTGGCCCACAGTTCCCTTGGCAGGAACAGGAACAGTGTGTGGCAGAGACCCATCCACATCCAGATAACCCGGCTGCAACCGGGACTGTCCCAGGCCAGCCCCAAGCCCCCGCCCCCCCAGAACTTCCCCCCTACACACACCCCAACCCCCTGCCCTGAGCCCCTCATGCAACCCAACCCTGACTTCTGCACCCCCCATGCTCCCAGCCCTGACTCCTGCATCATCCACATCCCCACCCCCTGCCTTGAGCCCCCCGCACCCCAACCCCTCTTCAGTCACCCCCTTGCTGTAGCCCACATTGGAAAACTCAGCAAGGAAAAGCGAGGGCAAGGATCACACTAAACTGATAAGATCTGCATTTTAATTTAATTTTAAATAAAGCTTCTTAAACATTTTGAAACCTTATTTACTTTACATACAACAATAGTTTAGTTATATATTATAGATTTATAGAGAGAAACCTTCTAAAAACGTTAAAATGTATTACCGGCACGCAAAACCTTAAATTACAGTAAACTTGACCCACCACTTCTGAAAGGTTGCCTACCCCTGGACTAGGAGCTTAAATTCATAACTCTGCTAGATACTGAAAATCATGGACTGAATAGAGTAGAAACACTGGATTTATGGCTTATTACAATAATCTATAACCCACTAACCCCCTCCCCATGGAGAGGTGTTGTTGGGCCACTTCACCTTGAATGGTCCCTTGAAATACGTTTTAACTACTTATTCTAAACAACCTGTTCCACATTGTGTTTAGCTGTGATACTCTTTAATATCCTGGGGCCAATACGGCTACATCAACACTGCATACAGGAAGCAGAGAGGCTGACTGGCTAAACTACGTGATATACAAAATTCTGTATCCTCTGCCTGCAAGAGATTTCCTGCCTTGCAGAATGATTTCCATTGAATAATAGTGAGGGTCTGCGTCTTGTTTACTCTTAGGCTCTTGCAGTATAAAAGGGCCTTAAAGTGGACATAGATGTAACTATTTCTCAAATAACATTAGAAATTAAGGGAGATATCCCATCTCCTAGAACTGGAAGGGACCTTGAAAGGTCATTGAGTCCAGCCCCCTGCCTTCACTAGCAGGACCAAGTACTGATTTTGCCCCAGATCCCCCAGTGGCCCCCTCAAGGATTGAACTCACAACCCTGGGTTTAGCAGGCCAATGCTCAAACCACTGAGCTATCCCTCTCCAACATTACAATTGGCTGTAATAGGGTGGCAGGATTTTTCTATCGGAACCCTATCGGGAGGTTTTGACTGATTCCTTAACTCTCTATATAAAGGGAGATGGGAGCGATTCTTTGGGTAGAAAGAATTAGGGTCTTGGCAAGGAAATTCTAGGGAAAGCCAAGTTTAGGGAGAAATGAAAGACTGAGTTTTACATTTGTTGTTTGAATTACTACTAAAGCCAAAACCAAGAAAAGAGGGTAAATATGGACTAAATACAGAAGGCCTGATTCTCTGTTACCTCATTCTGTGCTAATGTAACACTGACTATTTTAATGCAGTTACAATGATGTAACAGTGGAGAACAAGGCCAGTCTACATAGATTTTCCTCACAGTAGGCTGAGAACCCTATGTGTGTTCAGGGCCAAAATCTGCTTGCCTTATACACCAGCATAGACAAGCAGGATTTGGCCCATAGGACACGTCTTTTGTGTTATAATTGTTTAGCACTCTGAATTTATGAGTTGCCGCACATTTGGTGCCTGATTGAATATGGGAGGAGAGAGGGAAATAAATACTTGTTTTTGTGCATTTAGAAATTTGGAAATAAGGCATGTTGAGGTACAAAATGTGACCTGCATACAGTGTAATACTCCAACTGCATTATCAATACACAATGGAGAAGTAATTGAGGAATGGATAACAACAATCATATAATGGCGGAGATCTATACCACCGAGTGCCCATAACAACACTGTGTGGTTTTATTCCATGTATTCCACAGGGTTATTACTGATCTGGTGTAGCCAGGTTAATTGCAGGTAAATGCATGGCTACTGCCAGTCCATAACTGGGTAGTCTCCTGGTCCTGACCTCAAGTCTGATCTTCAGCGGTCTATGTGCAGAGACTTTGTGCAAAAAGGGCCAGCTGGCAGTGACCAATGATGATTTCAATCTTCTTGAGGTCAGTTCTCAATGGATAATAATTTGTACTAGATCTCGTCATGTAGAAATCTGCTGCAAGTTTCTGCATTTATCCCATGAGTAAGAGCTGCAGGATTAAGTCCTGAACCTTGTGTTTGAGTATCCAAAACACAATAGGTGGGGAACTTTTGTATAGCAGCTTAGTTTATTTCTCCTGTGGTATTTAAGTCAAATTCATATTGAGGTAAAACTGCCTAGCCTGAGGTGTTGAGAAGTGCTGAATACATTATGAATGGTGAGTCAAGAGATTTGTTGTGCAGGAATTGTTTGGTGGTGGTGATGTTATTATTTAACACTTCTATTGTGTTAGCGCTTCAGGTCCCATCAGTTTGGGGCACTATTGTTCTGGGTTCTGAACAAGCATACAGCAAATGTCAGTGCCTGCCCCAAAGAGCTCAGAGTACAAAAGACACAACGTAAGAGGTTGCTGAGTCAAGCCAGTGGGTCGAGTTGGGGGTTGTGGAGATGACAGGGTAACAAAAAGAAAATGTTGGCAATTCATAGGGAATGAGGATCAGTAATCACAGCTTAGCCCCTGTCCAGCTGTTGCCAGGCTGCAGTCTCCTGTTTGCATTATGGGAGCTTGGAGGAGTGACTCGACAGAGGATCCGGTGGTGGCTTAATGGATTTTGAATAGGAGCTTCATCCACTCGATGGGGCAGCATAGGGGAGAGTGCCAGAAGCGGACACTCAGGGGACTGAGGTTGGCCTCATTGGAGTGAAGGTGGGAGTTGACCTTGTGATAAGGTTAAAGGTTGGATAGGCAGGGCGAGGCTCTCTTTCCCCAGATAGGAGGAGGAAACAGATTGTAGGCCTTTCTCTGAACGATCCTAATTCTCATAATAACTGATTCCGATGGACTTTTAGGCACCCTGAAACCTCTCAGAAAAGGAGATAGTTCTGAATTTTTAAAAAACACAAAACCAGAGCATAAGGCACGCCTTGGTACAAAATGTGATTTGTGCGCAGGCATAATAAAACTCCAACCATATTAACGACTCAAAAATGGAGATATAATTAAGGAGTGGATACAAATTTGTATTTGTATTAAATCAAATAAAGTAGAAATCTGCTCCATGGCCCTGTATTTGGCTCAGCACCAATTCTGGTATCACTGAAGTTTTAGCTACCATAGCGACATACTCTTTTGGGGCAGAGGGGAAGGAAGAAAATTTACAGTAATACCTTCAACTGTTGGTCTAATTAAATCTCACAAGTTAGCGGAACATGCTGGATTTATAACCACTCACAATCCCAGTGGTTGCACTTGAAACTAATCACCCTCTTTAAAATAACATATTACTATGAATTCATGCAGCCATTTAAACATGCAAAGCCTAGAGATCAGTAAAATACAGGGCTGGAGCAGAGGGGAAGATTTCAGAAGCTCCCATGTTGAACAAGTTTCCTTACCTTTGGCAAAGGCCACTGCCAGTTCTCAAAATTTTAAGAAAAGGGGGAGCTCGTGTGAAATTAGTTTCTGTCACTTTAATGTATGAGGGGATTCTGCTTCAGGGGCTTTTGGGGAAGCAGGGCATATTTTAAAATACTATGGTCTCAAAGGTTCAGATGCAAATCACCACCACCAAGAACTGCTGACGTAAAAGAATCTCTGGCTAGGAAGAGAAAGCTTTGTGAGTACCCTTTCTTCCCTACAGCCCCCACTCTCTCCTCTTTTGTCAAGTCCCGCCCCACCCCACCCCCACCCTGAAGTCTTTTATTTCTTGGGAACAGGCAATTAAGAAGCTCAGGACTATTTTTATAAAAAGCATTATCACGTGCTTATGTCAAACTTGCAGCAAGTTGCAAAGAAAAATATCCCAAAGGGACGGAGGAAGTTAACTGCTCTTCCAGGATTTGAGATCACAGCACCCATGGTCTTTGCTTTGGCAGTGTGATTAGTGCAATCTATAGGAGGGAAGAAAGGGAAAAAATGACAAGGTGGGGGATGGGGGCGGGGGAGACAAACACACAGATCCCTCAAGCAGAACAAAAGACAGCAGTTCACCCACCCCCTATGTTTCTCACTCTCTCTCTACCTCCAGTGTAAGATCTACCTTCTCTAGGCTGAGTAGCTTGTAAGAGGAGGTTTTCCTTCAAACTTTTGCCACTTCCATGCTGGGCGCTCTCTCTCTCTCTCTCTCTCTCTCTCTCTCTCTCTCTGTGTGTGTGTGTGTGTGTGTGTGTGTGTGTGTGTGTGTGTGTGTGTGTGTGTACATACCTACTGTAGATTGGTAGACACCATCCTTTGGAATTGCTACTGCCAGGTAAGATATGGTTTTAATTCTCCTCTTTCTTGAGATCCATTTTGCACAGGCTGGTGGGCTCATTTTGTTAAGTGCACAGTCCCTCCCCCTTCTCCCTCCCCAGTCCAGTTAATGCCCTTCTATGTTGGATGGTAATAAATATGAGAGGGAGTTGATTGCCAAATTAGATGCACCTTCAGGGATCCAGTGGGAGAGAAAGGGTTTCTCAAGGACTGGGTTTGGAAGTGTGAAATAAGTATCTCTTCAGGGGGAGTTGGGGAATTGTCTGGTCTGCTCAGCCCTCTCCACACATACACACACGCACTTTTTCAGATCATACAGCAGGGTGCAGCACTATATCCCCACCAGCTGGGAGGGTGAGGGAGCAGAGTGTCATAAATTGGTTAGCAGGGGTGCTATTTCTCTGCTCTTCAGGAAAAAGGACTTTATAAAAAGGGTTCCAGCACCCTGGACAGCTGGAGGGAGACATGTGAAAATAGGTGGGTGAGTGCTTTAACCTCTTCCCTCAGGGGGAAGGAAGCGAGATTGCTAGATACCATGGCCAGTAAATCCATTAAACAGAATATCAGTCATCTATGTATGTCTAATACACAGCTGCCCCACTGCTCAGCCAAGCTCAGCAGGCTGTTTCAACCACAAAATGATTAATTAAAAGTGCAAGAGTTTTTTTCACTTCAATCTATTCATCTAAAGTCTTTTGTTTTCCTTTGAACATCAGAGAGGGCCACATTCCATCTGCTTTATTTATGTAAATTGTCCCACTGAGGGCAATTTTAAGGCAAAATGCCCTTGGTTTGTGCTGTTCCTGATTTGCCATAACTGTGGTAAAAGATATGAAAGAACAACAACAAAAACAAAACAAAAAAACCCCACCATCTATCTCAGTAGAACCTAAAAGGTCTTAGTTTGGTGTCTTCTATATTATTCCCAGAGCCTTCCTTGAGAGAGGCTCTTCCATTGTGGGGATAGTTGTTAAAAATTGTCATTTTTACACCATCAGAACCAGCCCCTGCTTTCACTTATGCCCATACCCGTTCCTTGAAGCTATTGGGTTGATCAGCTATACAAAAGAGAAGAATTAGTCTGAAGGTTTTTTAGAAGAAATTTGGTAAAACAGAAAACAATAGAACACTATATAGTTTTTGGTGCCCACTTCAATAGCTAGTTGATTTCTATTTCCTACTCTTTTTCAGTCCCTCATAAATGGCCCCAAAATGACTCAGAACTGCTAAATAGAAACCAAATTCAAGGAAATGGCAGTGATTAATAGTTAATGTCTATATGCCATTTGAAAGGTGTTAAAGTGCTATATAAATTCCAAGTGGCGCTGTTATTAGTAATTATGATTATGAAACATGATTCAGCCTCAGAGAAAGATAAATCAACACTACCTGGCTGCCATCAGAAGCACTTTTACTAGTCACGCTTACTTGGTGTATATTTGCACAACACTATCTACTGCCTATATCTCAGGGACCAAATACCTTAACTGTCACAGAATATACAAACAGTATTTTGGAAGATTGTGGGGGTAGCATAAACTAGGTAAGACTAAGTAGGATTATATTCTGTTGTTCCAGATAAGAGATCCACTTGAAAAAATGAAAGTTCCACACGGAGATAATTAATGCATGCATTCTATGTTTATCTAAGAAATATCAATGAGCAGGTTAGAATGTAATTTCACCCATTTTAATGTGTCTCTTAATGTCAGGAGATTATATTTTACATATTAGATTATTTTCTGTGATAAAAAATAGTAACATTCTACAAGTGTATGGTTGTACAAAGCTATGACTATTTATAAAATTGTGTGTGTACCTGTTTATCTCTGTTTTTATGTTATACTGTAGTGTAGTTTTAATGATTCTACAGTTGAAACTTGTTGTTTTTGTCTTCTGCTAGAAGTCTAAGCAACTGCCAGTTACCATTAAAGAACTGTGTTGTATCAGATCATCCCAAATCAGTTTATGGCTCAATAACCCACCCATACAATGTTTTGTGATTTGTTTTGAAGACTTAATATTTCAGACTGCATAGTGCCCTAATTTCAAGGTTTAGATAGTCTTTTTGGTTTAAAAAAAATATTTTAATATTTGTACCGCAAATAATTGTTACTACTATAGAGTGGAAAGTGTTATGTTTTTGTAGCATGAAGATATGAGGGGTTGATCTTGCCTTATAGCCTGTTTTTTAAAAAATCTTTGTACTAAGGGGTGTGTATATATGCACACACATACATCTCCATTTTCCCCTCATTCCTTACTCAGACAAGCTTCCACTGACTGGAAATTTTCCCGGAATAAGTACTGAGGAAAACTGAGAAAGATGTTCAGGATGTTGCCCTCAGATGGACAGAAGATATCCTGCAAAATATATATCCATATAAAATACACAGGGCTTGAATTCAATGTTACATCAGGGCCCAATATATTTATAGGGGAAGGAGTTATTCAGTATAATGCTTAACTTCCCTTGCTTTGTACTTTTAAACCTAAAAATACCAGGAAAGAAATGTACAACAAAATAGAATTTGGTGTAGTTTTGCAGGTCTAGACTGCTGAGCGCCAAGTTCGGAGTCATAGTCATCCAAAACAGTCATGTAATCGGGCCTCTGTCAGAGGTTGTTATTCAAGTGTTTGGGACTATACAGTAATGAAAAAGACAACCTAAACATCTTCCCGGCAGTAATTTGTGTCATGACTGTTATCTTTTATTTTTAATGTGGGATTATTGTGATACTCGTAAAGTGAGGCATGGATACCACTGGCTGGAGTGAAACACAGCATGGGAAGGTGTTGTGAAAGCTTCTCCAGGTGATATAGTTAATGGGCCTACACTGCTATTCCAGACTTGACCTTTCCTTACCAGAGACTGAAATTAAGGCCTAATGGTTTGATGCCTTTTTTGATAATTCACAAGCAAAATGCATTGTTACAGTGTCTTATTATTACTTTATTGTTACACACATTGCTAAAGCACCCATTAGCTTAGTATTTGGGCACTCGTCCATACATTCACTCCTGTACAATAGGTGCCCTGTAACATTATTCACTGCTGCCAGTGACATTCAGTTATTCCACAGATAATTTAGTCTTTAATTAGTCCATATCTTAACTCTTAAAATGAACATGACTTATCTTTAATACCGATGGTCAGAGGATAACGCTCAGTCGTCTCATCTGGGAACAGGTTCTTAGAAAATGTGCCTATCCCAAGAGATCAGAGAATTATTGAAATTTCTCAGTTATTGTGTCTATCAGAATGCAGTCCACTTCGTGGTCCCTCTGGAATATAGGTTGTAGATCTTGTGTGCCTCTGGTAGCAGTGTGGAGGACTTCCTTCTCTTTTATTTCTGTACATTACCTCTTGCTTCCAGGAGAACGTGGTAGTGCTGCAGCTGGGGCTGCAGGTTCTGGGGTGGAGCCAGAAATGAGGAGTTCAGGGTGCGGGAGGGGGCTTCAGGCTGGGGCAGGGGGTTGGGGTGCGGACTCTGGGTAGGGCTAGGGATGAGGGGTTGGGGGTGTAGGAGGGTGCTCCGGGCTGGGTCCAAGGGGTTTGGAGGGTGGGAGGGCGATCAGGGCTGGGGCAGGGGGTTGGAGCATGGGAGGGAGTCAAGCTCCGGTTGGTGCTTACCTCAAGCAGCCCCTGGAAGCAGCGGCATGTCCCCCCTCCAACTCCTATGCGGAGGCACGGCCAGGCAGCTCCCATTGGCCGTAGTTCCCAGCCAATGGGAGCTGTGGAGGCAGTGCTTGGGGCAGGGGCAGTGTGTGGAGACCCCTGTCTGCCCCTATTTGTAGGAGCCAGATGGGGGACATGCTGCTGCTTCCAGGAGCCATGCGGGAGTTCTGGATGCAGCCCCCGGGCCATAGTTTGCCCACCCCTGGTGTACTATGTATTACGTGTGCTTATATGGCCCCCATCACCATAGAGTTTGAGCACCTCACACTGTATAATGTTTCTCCTCACAACACCATGTGAGCTAGGGATGTGCTATTATTCCTATTACACAGAGAGGTTTAAGTCCACACTTAACCTGACATAGCTACTGTGCTCAGGGGTATGAAAAATCCACACCCCATGAGCGCCGTAGATATGGCGAACTAACCCCTGGTGTAGATGCAAGTCGGTTGATGGAAGAATGCCTCCATTGACGGGGAAGATGGATTTCCTACCGTAACAGGAAACCCATTCCATTACTGTAGGCTGTGTCGATGCTACGGAGTTATGTTGGCATAGCTACAGTGCCCATGTGTAGACATGGACTGACTTGCCCAAAGTCACAAAGTAAGTTTGTGGCAAAGCAGGAATTGAACCCAAGTTTCCAGAGTCTCTGGCTAGTGCCCTAATCACAGAACCAGCTTTCCTGCCTGATACACAGGAGTGCTGGCAAGAAAATAAACTTCTTTTCCAAGCCCTACTCAGGCTTTGGTCGGGGTGACAAAGTTCAATACCCTGTCACGTGAACACAGGTCATCAGTTGTTATTTCCACTGGCATGATGCAATGCTCTCAATGGAAGTATACTACTTCTCATTTATGGCCTCCTTCTACCTGGTTGAGACTCCAGGTACAGCGAAGGGCTCCATCCATTCATTCGGCAAATATTTGCATAAATTTGTACATCTAGTTAAATATGGTTAAGCCTAACACTACATCCGATTGGCACCTAAGTTTCCAGAGAGACAACCACTTAGTCCACAGATGCCCTGGAAAGTTGTGACGATCTATATCTTAGATCTACGTCTCTATATCTACATACGGAACATATTATTAATCAATCAATTCATAAGCACCTAGAAGATAATAGGGTTATAAGGAATAGCCAGCATGGACTTGTCAAGAATAAATCATGCTAAACCAACCAAATTTCCTTCTTTTGACAGAGTTACTAGCCTAGTGGATGGGGGGAGCAGTTAATATATCTTGATTTTGGTAAAGATTTTGACACAGTCCCACATGACATTTTCATAAGCAAACTAGGGAAATGTGGGCCAGATGAAATTACTATAAAGTGAATGAACAGCTGATTGAAAGACTGTACTCATAGTAGTTATCGATGGTTCACTGTCAAACTGGAAAGGTATAGCTAGTGGAGTCAGTTCTGGATCCAATACTATTCAATATTTTCATTAACAACTTGGATAATGGAGTGCAGAGCATGCTTATAAAATTTGCAGATGACACGAAGCTGGGGGTTGCAAGCACTTTGGCAGACAGGATGAGCATGAAATGACCTTGACAAATTGGAGAATTGGTCTGAATTCAACAAGATGTAATTCAATATAGACAATTGCAAAGAACTTCACTTAACAAGGAAAAATCAAATGCACAACTACAAAATGGGGAATAACTGGCTTGGTGGTAATACTGCTGAAAAGGTATAGGGATTATAGTGGATCACAAATTGAATATGAGTCAAAATATGATGCAGCTGTGAAAAAGGCTAATATTCTGGGGGTACTTACAACAGAAGCATCATACGTAAGACATGGGAGGTAATTGTCCTGCACAACTAGGTATAGGTGAGGCCTCAGCTGGCGTACTGTGTCCAATTCTAAGCACTACACTTTAGGAAAGGTGTGGACAGAGGAGAGCAACAAAAAAGAGAAGGTTTTGAAAACCTGGCCTATAATGAAAGGTTAAAAAAATTGGGCTTGTTTAGTCTTGAGAAAAGAAGACTGAGGGAGCACCTCAGAATAGTCTTCAAATATGTTAAGGGCGGTTATAAATGAGATTGTGATCAATTGTTCTCCGTGTCCCCTGAAGGTAGGACTGGGCTTAATCTGCAGTAAGGCAGATTTAGGTTAGATATAAAGAAAAAACTTCTAACTATAAGGATAGTTAAGCACCAGAATAGGCTTCCAAGGCAGGTTGTGAAATCCCCATCATTGAAGGTTTAAGAACAGGTTAGACAAACACATGTCAAGGATGGTCTAGGTGTACTTGATCCAGCCATAGCTCTGTGGGCTGGACTCAATGACTTCTCAAGATCCCTTCCAGCCCTACATTTCTATGATTCTATAAAAGAATGGCAGCTTTAACGTTTCCCTATTTTTGGCCGACCTTTTCTGTTCTGTGAAACCTAGGGTTGCTTAAAGGTCAACACAAGAGATTAAAAATATTTCCTAAACCAATTTAGGGACTGAAATGATTAACAAGGCACAGTGGTATGTAGGCATGGTTTTAAGAATCGTGGAGATATTAATATTTGAAAACAAAATATTTGGTTTTTAATCTACCTCCTTCTATTTACCTGCCAAGACACAAGTTCGGGCTTTTTTCCAGTAATCGTTGACAAGATCATTGAGACTTATGGTCCCATCTGAACTGGCAAGTTATCATAGCGAATTAAAGCCACATTATTTTTCATGTTGCTCATTGACTGATATCAAGGAGGTAGAGAAAATTTGATGGCACTTAAAACAATTAGCTTATCTTTAAACCTAATGATCTCTATGTGAAGTTAAAGAGTAATATTTACTAGCAATGCTTGGTCAAATGCCTAGCAAAATCAAATCTATGCAGCACTGATAGGGAATGAAAACACAGTTGGTTTATTGTGTATGATACTAATTTTATCTATCTTGTCTAGGTAATCTGATTGCACATTTCCATAAGTAAACTTCTAACTCCCCATGTCTATTTTGATTATAAACTGGTAATTGCTGTCTGCACAGGAAGCAGTTTGGCAGGTTTTAATGTTATGTGACATAAGCTTTCAGTGCGGAGCCCCTACTTTACCCTTTTAAAATGTTCTTGGTGTCTTCTAGATTAGAGACTGGCGATATTATCATGGAGAATTCAGCAAAAGAAAACGCTCAATTGTTCTCAAAAACCATAATCCTGCCAATTGACAGGTCTTCATCTAAATCTGAATCTTCTGCTTCCAAGGAGAAACAAACGTGCTGTGGAGGTATAAAGGTAAGGAAGAGCTCTGAATTTTACAGCACAGACCATTGAATGGCTGAAGTTTTGTTGCTGGATGCGTTTCCCCCCCCAGTATATTTCTCACTGGAATGTTACCCTTTTTCCATTCAGTGTAAAAGTGATATAGATGGATCTAATTTATGAAGTTCTGATGCTGATTCAAATTTCCCTAACTTTTGGTGATGTTCAGCTCTGGGGCCATGGTTCAGGCTCACGTGTAATGTGTGTTCAGTAGCCACTATTAACAACTAATATTTACCCACAGTTACCAGCCCATGGTATTTCCCTGAGTTAACAATAGAATAGTACACTGGTTCTCAAACTTTTTTTTTCGCGGAACACTTGAAAATCTCCGAGGGTCTCGGCGGACCACTTAATGAGCTTTCCTAATGTCATTTGTACCATTAGCTAACTATTGTAAAGTGCTTTGGATAAAAGCGCTATATAAAAAAACCCTTAATAATAATGAATGGTTTTTTGTTCTACAAATAAAAGCGCACAACTCATATTTTAATATCAGTAGTCTTGCCTTTCTAAGCAGATGGATGTGCCTTCTCTCCCCCGCCATGGCAGCCCCTGAGCTCTGGCTGGGAAGGAGGGGGGTCTCTCCCTCTCTCTCACACTGCAGCAGCCCCCGAGTTGGGGCTGGGAAGGAGGGGGGGTCTCTCCCACGCCACAGCAGCCCCAGAGCTGGGGCTGGGAAGGAGGGCCATCTCTCCCCGGCAGCCGCAGCCCTGGAGCTGGGGAAAGTCACCTCTTTCTCTGGCCGCCGCAGCCCTGCATGTCCCAAATTCCCCCCACCCGCTCTTCTCACCCCACTGCCCCCTCCCACCTACCCCCATTCCCCCCAAGGCCACCACCTCACCTTACATGTGCATCTTCTCCAGGGTCCAGGCACCTAATTAGTGGAGCCATGCCTACCCAGGTGTGCACCTTAGAGGGAACTGTCTGCGGACCACTTGAATGGAGCTTGAGACAGGGCCGGCTTTAGGTTTTTTGCCGCCCCAAGCAAAAAAAAAAATTGTGCCGCCCCAAACAAATGCTTGGTTTGCTGGTGCTTAGAGCCGGTCCTGGTTTGAGAACCTCTGGAATAGTAAATATTTGTAGTACCAGTGTGTGGGGTCAGTAAATGTCTTTTTTTTTAATTGGCAGTCCTGGTAACATAGGTTTCTGGAATTTGAAAAATGATTCCTACTACTTTACATACATCTTGAACACTTCACTGATGGAACAAACATGAATTTTGATTTGTGGTACTATGAATGAGAGATCCTGAAAACCAACAGTAATGTGTTGGTTTTTTTGGTTCTCATCAAACTCTGAGCCCACCCAAAATTGCTGTGCTTGAATGAGAGCACTCTCTTGTGAGTTCAACTTCAGCAGCCTCAGACTTGTGATGTAGCTTTGCAATGTGATAATGTCACAACACATTCACATTATAATACCATCCTGGAAGAGCACTCCCTCTGGAAATCAGCCCTGCACAAGCGGGCGGTAGAAGATCAGTTACTTTTTCATGCAACTGGTCTTTTCTTGCAATCTGCACTCCAGGGATCGGCTTCTGCTGTGGTGTGAGTTGAGTTCACTGGGGTATATGTAGTCACAATCTGAATCAGAACATCTTTGGCTTTGCCTAATTCTTGCTCCCCTTCACATTCTTTATTCCTTCTGGTTTTCCATTGTTACAGACCATTGTTTCCAGTTACAATCTGAGCCATTAGAAAGAGTCCATATTCATAGAAAGAGTCCCATTGGTTTCAATGAGATTGGAGCCTGTAAATTACAGCCCATACCAGATAATCTGCTCTGTGATACAATGATTCTGGTAATTTTGTACAGAATAAAATGACAACTCTGACAACATAAACTCCTGAATATTTCCATTGGTCTTATCTACCACCACACAGATATCCACTGATGGCTGAAAACTGGGCCATAGTTGCTGAGAAATTAAAAACAAGTGGTATTAATTAAACCTACATTATAATAGCAATAAAATCATTGCCCCTCTGTTTGCTCAACAATAATCTGATTCCCTCATTGAATAAACCTTCAGTCACAGTTCAGCCACTCAGGAATCAGCTTATTGCCTCCAAAATACACTAATATTATAGCTCAAACAATTAGTCCAGTTTGGAAATTTTGCTGCTATCACTCTTCCGGGCCTGGAAAGCTGGGTCAGTTAACCTCTAGAAAACTTGAATAATGAGGAGATTCGGCAAATTGGTTTTGTAAACGGCCAGCCTTTCACAAACTTTGCACTTAAGTTTACTTACCCAAAAAAGCACCAGCTGATTTATGGTGAGGTCAACACCCAACTTTATCTATGTTTGGAAGTGAGCTGGAGAAGGATGGAACATCCTGGGCATTTCTACATTGCCAGTTTAATTCAGAAGCATTTTTGCTACCTCCTGATGTCAGGTTCCCTCTTAGGTAGTTCCAAACCATTTAAGAAAACTGACATCAAAATATGTCTGAAAACGAAGAGGTTTGAAGTCCTGTTTTCATTACATCATCTACCCCTGAAAATCATATTCATGTTTTTTACATGACCATATAAAATCCAAAGTCATTAACGCGCACACAAAGGAAAATGACAGTTATGCTTATTTTCCTTGGAAAGCTTTCTGAAAGCCTTCCTGGTGGGAAATACTGTTCATATCATACAAAGTGGGGAAAGTTTTATTTAAATTATAGCAGGCACTTAGGAGATTTCCGCGGTAGCAGCCCGTGCTGGGAAGCAATGCAAGTGGGACACTGGGAAATTAGAAAGCGCAATGTGAAAGTTTGCATTAAACTTCAATACCAATTCTACAATCAATAGACCAAATTATGTACTAGGAGGGAAGTGTTCCTATGGAGCTCTTGATTTACCCCGTTTTGTGTAATTGTACTTGGGATAGTCATAAATGCACAGCATGGGGGAGAGTGTGGCCCTTGGTGTGTGTTATACATTGTGACGTGCATCATTGCTATGGTTTTTTTCCTACACAAAGAAAAGCCATATACATGCAGTCAGCACAGCCTTTGTTTGATAGTGAAAAAACGACGTGTGGCCTCCATTAGAAAGCACACAGTGTTTGACTCTATTCTGGAGCTGGTTGCATCTGACTGAAAATAACTAGCTGTGCAAAAAGAGATGTGGGGAGTCTCCATTTAACAGATACAGTACACAGAAATCTAGTCTGTGTTAGGGCTGGCCTTACTCATGGTACCACATAATGGCTAGGTTCCTAGATCATAAATCTCCCCCATCTCTAGTGTCCTCAGCCCGGTTGTCACTCCAGCACAGTGGTGGTCTCTCTTCTGGCAGATAGTAACTTGTCCGTCCACCCAGGTCACTATTGAAGTCCACCCCTTTCGTCTAACAAAGTGTAGAAGTCCAACATCCCCCCAGAAAGAGTTTTTGGCTTGGCTCAGCTCCGGGCCCCTGAAGACCTCACAACCTTACTTCAGGGCTTACAATGTCTTTATTTCTCTCACCTCAGGTTATGTCACCCTTGTTGCTGGTTGGTAGGGGAGCCCAGGCCCACCCTCTCTGCAGGGCTCTGACCCAGGGCTCTGTGAGAGGCGGTAATATCAAGCACCCAGGCGTGCTCTGAGGTTACCTCCCTCGACCACTTCCTATCATTTACTTTCTCAGCTCAGTGCATGGTCATATTCTCACAAACAATCCGAGAAAAGCTAGAGTGCGGGGTTCTTTAATCCTTAAGGATCTTTAATCTGGTCCTCTTCTGAGGCCTTGGGTACCTGTTGCTTGCGGACCCCCCTTCTCTGCAGCAACAGCTCCCACTGTACCCTTACTTGGGTACTCTCAGATAGATCTTTCACCACTTGCTATCCCTGTCCCCCTTTCTGAGCTGTCTGGCTTGCTTTTAAACTCCACCTCCTGCTGGAGCAGGCTCTGCAGGTGCAGTGGGATGGGACCACTTGGGCCTAGAACTGCTCCTTAACCCTCTTCTATCCCTGTGTGGGGTTTATATACCCCATCACGCAGACATAAGAAAAAAACATATAAACACTGAAGTTACTATATGACAGGATGTTTGATGGGGGAAAGATAGTTCTACAAAGGACATTTTTCATATGAAGAATTTTAAAATGAAGGTTTGAGGATGGCTCCTGGGATTGATAAAGGGATGCAGCACCTTTTGTCTCATGCTCATTGGTTAACATCCAGTCCAGATTGGGGTTGTTTAAAGCCCCTATTCTGCAAGTTGCTCCATAGTAGCAGATTCTCCTGTCCTGGGTCCCAGTGACTTTAGTAAGAACAACTTTCAGGATAAGGGTTTTAAAGTTATTACCATTGGATGGCTGGTCCCCTATGTGAAATGGGTTGCTACTGTCAGCCTATTCCCTAGTGAATAAGTGTTCATATGAAAAAAAACCTATCCAAATTGACAGTAATTGCTTCTACAGGAGGCTGAATTATCCCCCTAGCCCTAGAGACAGGGTTTGCTTTGTCATTTTGTTGTCTCCTGCTAGAGATAATAGTGGTGTTGTCTGACAGTGAAGGAAATTTGAACTGCTGCTGTCCGTGAGCTGTGGATAAACAGAAGATTGTCAATCCAGCACCTTTCACAAACACGAAGAAAAATCACTCATAATAATAATTAATAATAAAAGTATATTTTTAAAAATGTTTAATTCAATTAATACAACAAAATATTTGTTATAGTATGATCTTAATTACCATCGACTTCTCTCACAGATATTTCTTGGCGCATTATCCTTTGTTTACTTCGCTAAAGCATTGTCAGGAAGTTATCTAAAAAGTACCATCACCCAAATAGAAAGAAGATTCGATATCCCTTCTTCTTTGGTTGGTGTTATTGACGGCAGCTTTGAAATTGGTATGTGGTGCTTTCATTTTCAGACAAAACTAATGCCACCTGTCATTGTGGCAAATGATCGTACAAATCTCATAGGCCTATTGAAGTTAAATGAGATCCATCTGGCAAGAGCAAATGTGGCCTTTAATATGTGTTTACATTTGGTGTGACAGTGATGAGACTGCGCTTAACGTGGCCATGACCATGTAATGGTTGAAACTGGGGTGGTGACTGCTGCTTTAGAGATGGTTCTTGTTAGCACTGTTTTTCTGACCCAGCATGGACAGGGATTTTATTGTGAGAAATATGATAGCCAGGGTATAGACTACTCCCCTAGATAGCACAATGCAGGGTTGTGGCAGAGCCTGATTCACCCATAGTGTGGCCTGAGCTGCAGACATTTCATTTATCCATGTAATTCAGCAGTGGTGCCCTCAGTTGTACGCACAGAGTGTACTATTGGCAGTGGTGAGGAGTGGCAGCGCTAGCAGCTGCCCCACTGCCACTTCAGCTTTGGTCCTGCACTCCCTCTGTCATGACGGAGGGGCTGCGGGGCCAAACCGGAGTGAGCACATTGGGGAGGGGGAGGCCAGTGCTGCTCCGCCTTGCGGCTGCTGCATGGTGAGGCAGGTCCTACATCAGGGCTTCCCACAAGGCGCCTGCCCAGCCTCATCCTGTCCCCCTCTCAGGGATGGGGGTGTGATGCTGCACCTGGGCAAGCCAGGCTGAGAGGCAGGGGCTGAGCCTAGCAAAGACTTGGGGCGTGGAAAGCTGGGGCCAACAGCTACAGTGGGGTTGGCTCCACAGGGACTGATGGGGTGTACCATGGGGGAAAATTCCAGGGGGGCACCTCTGTAATTAAGTGCTGTGGTAAGGGAGCTGCATACATCAGACCACGTATTATTCTTTCCTTAGGCAAGCCCAACCAGAGACATGTACCATGGAGGTTATTGGTTACCTTGAAGCAGTGTTAAAAGGGTTTGGCACTGGTGTTAGCAGTAGACAAAAGACAATAATTTTCTTGTGCACTGTTCAGCCCTCTCTCCCCTGGCGTTGTCACTGTGAGATCCCCTCCTGTGTGATCCAGCCAGGATAGCTCTGTGACTTGGTAAATGGTGAGAATACAAAGGTCAAATCCTATATTGCCTCCATTGGTCAATGGATCAAGGGTACTCCTGCACTGAGATCTCCAACATGACATTATGTAAAGTTACCATCAAACCTTTGGACTTATGTCAAAATTTCTTCAGTTTAGTGTTTTGTGGCATTTTAGCACTCCTGGGAATATATTATTGGCTAAGGTACCCAAAGTCCTATTACTTGGCTGCCTCATTCCCTTCCCACTTCCCCCCACCCCGCTTGACATTCCACCTCTCTTTCCAGTGACTGGCATCTGGCTAGGTCCTCGTTTCCAGCTGCTTCTACAGGTGCCCATGTTTTTCCTAACTGATCCTGGACACTTGCACAACTATTTGGAAACAAGGAGGAGACCCACCACCATGTGAGCAGCCATCTTTCTGTAAACCCCAACAACTGTTATATAGGCCAGGATTTGGGAATGACTGGTTTAGCGTGTAGTTCACTTATGAGTGTGTTGTAAATCCAAGTTACCTTTTTGTATTTTTCAAAGGGAATCTCCTAATCATAATTCTTGTAAGCTACTTTGGAGCGAAACTTCATAGGCCAAAGATAATTGGAGCTGGTTGCCTAATAATGTCAGCTGGAACCTTTCTAATTGCGATGCCCCAATTCTTTATGGGACGGTAAGTGCAAAGCAATCTGTTCTTTCTGTTCAGAAAGAAATGCACTAGCACAGAACTTACCTTTTGCCCATGAACCTATTTAAACTACATAGACACTGTATGCACCTATTCAAACCACAGAGACGCTGATTGTGGAAGTGCTGATGGGAACAGAGAGTAATATGGTTACTATTATTAATTGTTTATTACAAATAGATTATTTATTACTATAGTTGAGCAAATAATAGAAAAAATATTCCATCAATATCCATGCAAATTTGAAATTCATTTCTGATTAGTTGACATTTGTAAGCCCTTTCTGGGCATGATCTAAAGCCCGTTGGAGCCGTCTATGATGAAGTGACGAATAAAAACAGAAAATAGTGTGTAGGAAAGAACTATGTAGGACCCAGAGGACAATCCCACTATTTTGTATTCTACACTAGACCAGATTTGGAACTCAGAATACCAGGTGATCTTCTGGGATGTGGCCCCATGCACACTTCATACAGTACAATATTCTTACAAAATACATTTACTTATGTAACCCCTCTCAACATGTATACATATAACCTGTAATCCATGCAGCTTGTTGGGATCACCTTAATCAGATGCACCTGAGACTTCATTTAAGTGCTTTGGTACATGTGTATCTTCAATGAGGATGCAATGAAATTTTCTGTTGTAATATATCGTAACGGGGAGAAGAGTAAAGATGTTGATTTTTACACAGCTATAGGTATGAGATATTTTCTTCCTCCACCAATTCTACTGTCAGCATCTCCCCATGTCTACAGGATAAAAGCCAAATACCACTCTCAGTCTTAGAAAGGTCTCAAGCCAAAATAAATGCAGGTAAGAATATTCCATTTAAAAAATATATATATTGTGTATGTATGTAGGTGGGTCTGGTAGCACTGGCTATTATGAAGATTGCCCAATATGTCACATTATAAGACCCAGTTTTCAGTTGCCATACTTTAACTATTTGGGGTGAAATTTTCCATGCTGTGTCTGCCTCTGGCTGAAAGTTTCTGTGGAAATTTTGGCCAAATGGGTTCAGCCAGTTCCAAGAACAAGCACAGCACAACTCCCATTGACTTTAGCTGGAGCTGTGAGCGCTCAGTACTACTGCAGATCTATCCCCAGGGTCTCAGATCAGGCACCCAGAAAACGAGGAACGCACAATTTGTGACTACATGTGAAAATTCTGGTTTAAGTGACTTGTCCAGCATCACATATACATTGCGAATTCTGTGGCAGAGGCAGGGATAGAATCCAGTTCCCCAGGGCAGCATTCAACTGCTGTAACAATAGGACCTCTTCTCTTCTCTCACTGTGTATCCTCTGCCTCATTTACTATGTACTTTTCTGCTTCTGCAACAAGTGAGGCAGGAGGTCCCACAGACAACAGCCTCTTTCACTGCACAATCCTGATTCATCCCCAGAATAGCTCCATGTTGCCACACATTGAACAACAGGAAGAAAACAATATTGAATAGCTGTTCCTTAAGTGAGCACCGTCCATCCTGTGCACTCAATGAGGCAGAGGCCCTATGTAAAAAAATAAATAGTATGTGATCATGTAATTAAAGACTGTATCATAATACAACATGCTCTAAGGGGCCAAATTAAGGTTGCATAAGCAACCTTAATTCTGGCATTTCTTAACTTTTGAGCGCTGACTTTGTGACCTTAATAATGCTCTTTTAACATAGTTTGTAGATATATCCCAAGCAACCATGTAAAGGCAATTATCTTTGTTTCATATCTGTACTGCTTTTTGCACTAGAAACATAGCTGAGCCTGCTTTAATGCCATCTTTTAATTCCCCCAATCCTGGGGCCAGCCAGAGGCTAGTAAGATCCCTGGCATAAATTGAAGCAGCCTGAAAAATGCTTATTTCCAGCTGCCTGTGGGTAGGGATAGCTAGATCTTAAGAACACCCTGAGATACCTTCATATAGGAGAATGGTAAGGATTGCAGGGATGGAAGTGCTATATGCCATCTGAGCATTCCCCCATAATTGTGAATTCTCAGTGGGATAGATCTGCTGATTTTACAGCTGCTTGGTGCTGCATCAATTTCACAGGTGCCTTGCTAGGTGGGATGACTGCCATAAAGCCATGTGTGCAGGTTCTGCGGGAATCTCAATAAACTCAAATACGTCAACATTCAACATTTATTGGTCCAAAAGATAAAATAAAGCCTGGTCTTTGTCATTGCATTGGCACCATCCAGGAATTGAAATAACCTATTACCTGTGTGGCACTGAGGAAAATATTGATTCCAAAGCCAATAGGGGCTCTACTGATATTTGCCTGTATGACTTAAAGAGTACCATTAGAGTCCCTTTTACCTCTGCTCACAATGCTACAGAATGTTAGCTGTTTGGATGAAATGCATGAGGTGTGTGGTACAGCACAGGCACTGAATCTGGTGCATAAAACAGCATAGAAGTGGTTTAAAATTCCATTCTGCCGACTGGCCTTGGGAGTGTTGTTTTAGCTTTGCAATAAATCTGTGGGCTCAGTTCTTCCTTCCAGTTACACAGGTGCCAACAGGAAATGTACCTGTACATCTGAGGACAGAGCTGAGTCCTGTGTGTTCAATGTCAAAATGTCACAAACCATGCCTTGTTTTACTCTCTTTCTGAATCCAGGATGTGAAAAAGAAGTTGGATCGTCCATGTGGATCTATGTTTTGCTGGGGAATCTTTTGCGTGGGATAGGGGAGACTCCTATCCAGCCTTTGGGAATTACGTATATTGACGATTATGCCAGCGAAGAGAGTGCTGCTTTCTACATTGGTAATATAATAATTCAAATTACTTGATCCTAATGTCTTATTTTTTGCAAGAAGTAAATTGAGTTGTTTTCAGTAGCAGAATGAGTGACATTAAATTAACTTGTCCTGATTATTTTGCTTGCATGGTTTAAAATTTTCAAGGTTTTATTTAAAATTTGTGTGCATTTTAGGGGCCAAATTCCACTCTTGATAACACCAGTGCAATCCCATTATCTTCATTGAGAAAATAATTTGGCCTGCTGCTACCTTAATCTTATTAAATCTTCTGCATGTGGATTAGTGGATTACACACTCAATTCTCTGGAGGGGAATAGAAATGTATATAGCATAGATTTATTTGTAGCATGGAATTTAAATTATGGACAGACAAACTATTATGAACAGAATCAAAACTTGGAATCTTCCCTCCAAACTGAATCAGAACCAGTCATATGTTGAGGGTCGAAATACTTAAAACAACTTTTTCCCTATTGTGTTTCATGTGTGACCATACCTGTATATTAAGATGAAATACTATCTGGAAGGGTTTTTTTTTTTTTTGAAGTATTTCTAGTCTGGTTAGAAGTGAGACCTACCAGAAATTTTATGCAAAAATTTGTTCTTGCAAGATTTCCAGATCAATTTTGAAAACTCAAAAGATGTGTGTGGGTTGGATAAGAGCCAAATAAAAAACATCTGAACTTAATCCAATGTGACGTGCTGAACCTTTTTGAGGTTTGTCCATCACTGATAAAATATGTTGGTTAATGTACACACGTTTTCTGACCACCTTATACATAATTTGCAACCCTGTTGGTGGCACTTCTGAATTTGGAACACATATTTCCATGAAATCACTTATTCCATGCTGAATTTGGTCTGTTAATTGGGTGACAGCAAAAAAACAAAAGTGAAATTTTGATGCAATGAGCCAATTTTTGCTTTTTGATACAATGGTGCTAGTCTGGAACAATTCCATTATCTGGGAATAAGAATGAGATTATTTTGGATTTGCACCAATGTGTGTGAAGGCAGAATTTGGTCCTGCATGTTAAGATACAGATCACTTTTCACTGATACTGTACACAAGAACAGAGCATGACAATGTATGAAAACAGAGTCATTTAAGGCAGAAAAATGACAGTTTCCTTGTGTTTTTTTTTGCAGGGTGTGTACAGACAGTTGCAATTATAGGCCCAATATTTGGTTTTCTTTTAGGATCCCTCTGTGCCAAACTATATGTTGACATTGGCTTTGTAGACTTGGGTAAGTCAGAAAAATCATTTTTAAAAATTGTTTACTCTATGTGTCGCATTGAAAAGTTCCAAACCCTTCAAAGTAAATGATATGGGGGATATAAAATGGCAGGTTATATTAAAGGCTTGAGGGTAGTTGGCTTTGGAAGTTTTTAAACTGAAAAATTATTTCCAGCATAAGAAGAATTCTCTTTTCTCCCCCCCCAATCATAATACTGCTTAAATTAAATAAGACATTAATATACAATCCCTTGAATTCAGCAAAACCCGTCAGTAAAAAAAAGTGATATATTCTGCATGCATGTTTTCTAAAATAATGGGATTTTGGATTTTTTTGTAGAGATTGAATGCCTAGAGTATAAGAAAGGGACTGAATGAGGTGTAAGGTACTTCTCAACATGAATAAGGATGGCAGAATCTGACCCCAAAATAGGTCATATAATTAGAGCTGGTTGGAAAATGTTGTTTATTCCCCCCTCCCCAAAGATAATTTTTGACTTTTCAGCAAAAAAAACCCCAACCCCCCTCCCCCCCCGCACCAGAAAAACTGGTTTATTTTTTTTTCTTTTTTGGACAATGGTTCCGATTTTTGGTTTTCTGAGTTTGTTTTTTTTTTTTTAAGGTTAAGCTGAATTTTTTGTTTGGTCAACCTCCCCCCAGTTTTCATCCAAAAAAAGTTTGGATGGAAATTGTTTAACCATCCTTAAATAGACTCTTTAGTGAATGTTTTGAATTCCTTGTCCTGACTGTACTGGGACGGGGTAAACAGCAATGCATAAATAACTCTTTGTTGTTGCTGTATTTTTGAAATCCGTTCTACTGATAAGATGATGCTCTATCAGTGGGACTGATCTTGTGAACTGCCGAACACTTGCCCCTTCCACTCTTATTGACTTAATAGGAAGCACATGTCATGAACAGGATCAGAGTTTGAATATGAAACATTGATCGAAACACGTGGCACAATTATTTATTTTTAAACCCTACAGGTAGATAGATTTTGTTTGTGTCAGTGCTGGAGAAATTACAATCGGGATTTTGATGTGATATAAATGCTGATTACATTGAACCCAAATCACAAGTTATACAGAAATATGAGAACTCAAAAGAAAAACTCCCAGTCTGCATGGGAGATGTGGCAGCATCATGGTTATATGCCTCAATGGCAACCTTTCCAACCACTTAAGGAACAGTCAGGGGTGAAAGTAACTTAAAGGACTTACCGGTATGCCGGAGTCCTGAGCGGGGGCGTGGCCTCAACCGGAGGGGGCGTGGCCTCAACCGGAGGGGGTGGGGCCTTTCAAGATTTAAAGGCCCTGGGGCTCTGGCTGTGGCTGGGAGCCCCAGGGCCTTTAAATCACCCTGGAGCTACCAGCGGCAGAGGCGGCTGGGTGCTCAGGGGTGAATTAATAGGCTCGGGGGTCTGGCCACCGCGGAGCTCTGGGCCCTTTAAATCACCACGGGAGCCCGGCTGCCAGAGCTCTGGCAGTGATTTAAAGGGCCCGGGACTCCCCGCAGCGGCTGGAGCCCTGAGCCCTTTAAGTCACCACCACGGAAGCCAGTCTAGTCCAGCACGGTGTACTGGCTCTTGCCGGTACGCCGGACCGGACCGGCTTACTTTCACCTCTGGAAACAGTGTAGATAGTTTCTAAAGGGGTGTGTACTCCACAACTGTCAGAAAAGTATTGGATGTGGGTGGGGATGGTGACTATGGAAAAAGAGATCTGGGGCTCTGTTGAAGAAATAAGAATCTCTACTGGGAGAGGTACCCTCCAAAGTTTGCTTTGCTCTTAACAAACTTTCACTAAATATGCAAATATGTCCCTCTTTCCCCCCCTGTACCACAGACAGTATAACAATAACTCACAATGATGCCCGATGGGTAGGAGCTTGGTGGCTTGGTTATTTAATAGCAGGTGTGTTAAGTGTTCTGGCTGCCATCCCATTCTGGTTCTTACCAAAGCACCTGCCAAGACCAGAAAGCAGAAAGGATTCCAGTACCTCCTCTGAGCAGTCAAAGTTCATTATTGAAGATAACAGCGAGCATCACAGATCTTATGAACAGCAAGTAAAGATACTTGAAATGGCGAAAGGCAAGTAAACACATTTTGTTTTATAACTGTTTAGTTTTACACCTTACCTTTCAGGCCTTACCTTACCTCTGTTTAAAGGCCTCAGAGTTGATATTGGCTTAGTGGCACATTAGGATTAGCAATATGAACAAAAGGGGCCCTCTAATTGCTTCCTTGCCCCTCATCTCCTACGGCATAGTTTCTCCAGCTGGGTTTTTGACCCTGAAGTGATCCATGAGGCTGTTGGGGAACAATTTGCAAAAAGGCTAGATCTTTCCCTGTAAAAGATGTATGTTTAAACAAACCCAATACAAAGGGGACCTATAACCCCCCCCCCTCAAAAAAATAGCTAAAATTACAGAAAATTTAGAACCCCCTACTGTAAAATCTTGAGGTTGATTGCAAGCACCGTGTTCAGAAAAACAAATGGGAAAATAATTGGCTTCTACTCACATGAGCACGCCCAGGCTGAACAAAATGCAGGAAAAGGCAAAGTTATGGCATCTGCTTGTATGGAAGCAGGACAAAAAATATTTTATTTATAAGACCAAGCCACACTATTTCAGTTTAACTAATGCCCTTCCCTCTAATTTCTGGGAATTTTACGTCAGCAAGTTGGCAAGAGAATTCCCAGTTATTCACTAGCAACACCTGGGATTTTGGATCAAAGTGAAATAAACCTGGGGAGGTTACAGCATTTTGGCTACCTAATGATAGAAAAATGGTGGTGGTTCTTTATTTAGTGGATGCATGCAACATTTATGCGCTTACTGAGTTCCACTCATTTACATTGAGGTCATGAACAAGCCAAGGATATAATCAACTTTGGCTAAAGCCTGAATTAAATCCCTCTCTTTGTGACAGGGAGGAGAAAAAGGAGAGAGAAATTTAATGAGGGCCTGAAAGTAAATATTTTTTCTTTTATTAATTGCTATGCCTACCTTTTGCTGGAAATATAAAAATATCACAAAAAAGGCTTTTTGTGTTGTATTTCCAACGTGCCTCAAAAGAGAACAGAAGAACGGCCATACTGGGTCAGATCAATTGTTCATCTAGCCCAGTATCCTGTCTTCTGTCAGTGGCCAATGCCAGATGCTTCAGAGGGAATGAACAGAACAAGCAATCATCAAGTGATCCATCCCCTGTCACCCATTCCCAGCTTCTGGCAAATAGAGGCAAGGGACACACACAGCATCCCTGACCATCTTGGCTAATAGCCATTAAAGGACCTATCTTCTATGAGAATATCTAGCTCTTTTTTGAACCCTGTTATGGTTTAGGCCTCTGGTAATGAGTTCCACAGGTTGACTGTGCGTTATTTGAAGATGTACTTCCATTTGTGTGTTTTAAATCTGCTGCCTATTAATTTAATTGGGCGACTCCTAGCTCTTGTGTTATGTGAAAGAGTAAATAACACTTCCTTATTTACTTTCTCCACACCAGTCATTATTTTATAGACCCATCATAGCCCTTCTCTGTGCTTTTTTCAATTCGAATGTATCTTTTTTGAGATGGGGTGACCAGAACTTCATGTGGTATTCAAGGTGTGGACATACCATGGATTTATATAGAGGCATTATGATATTTTCTGTCTTACTATCTATTCTTTTCCTAATGGTTCCTAACACTCTGTTAGCTTTTGTGACTGCTGCTGCATATTGAACAGATCTTTTCAGTGAACTATCCACAATGACTCCAAGATCTTTCTTTACTGGTAACAGCTAATTTAGAATCCATCATCTTGTATGTATAGTTGGGATTATATTTTCCAATGTGCATTACTTTGCATTTATCAAGATTGAATTTCCTCTACCATTTTGTTGCCCAGTCACACAGTTTTGTGAGATCCCTTTTTAATTCTTTGCAGTCTGCTTTGGACTTAACTAGCTTGAGTAATTTTGTATTGTGTGCAAATTTTGCCACTTCGCTCTTTGAATTCCTTTTTTTCCAGATCATTTATGACTATGTTGAACAGCACTGGTTCTAGTACAGACCTCTGGGGGAAACCACTATTTACCTCTCTCCATGCTGAAAAATGACCATTTATTCCTACCCATTGTTTCCTGCCTTTTAAATGGTTACTGATCCATGAGGGAACCTTCCTTCTTATCTCATGACTGCTTACTTAGCTTAAGAGCCTTTGGTGAGGAATCTTGTCAAAGGCTTTCTGAAAGTCTAAGTACACTACATCCACTGGATCACCATTATTCTCATGCTTGTTGACCCCCTCAACGAATTCTAATAGATTGGTGAGGCATGATTTCCCTTTACAAAAGCCAAGTTGACCCTTCCCCAACAAATCGTGTTCATCTATGTGTCTGATAATTCTGTTCTTTACTATAGTTTCAACCAATTTGCCTGGTACTGAAGTTAGGCTCACTGGCCTGTAATTGCTGAGATCACCTCTGGAGCCTTTTATAAAAAATGGTGTCATATTACCTATCGTCCAGTCATTGGGTACAGAAGCTGATTTAAATGATAGATTACTTACCACACTTAGTAGTTCTGCAATTTCATATTTGAGTTCCTTCAGAACTTTTGGGTGAATACCATCTGGTCCTGGTGACTTATTACTGTTTAAATTAACAGTTAGATTTATCGGTGAGAACAGGAAATCAAGGTATTATAAAGTCATCTGAAAATATTGCCTTCACAGATCCCTTCTTTTGCATGTGTGTGAGTCAAAGAGTGACTGTTGAAGCAGTTTCCACAGACAGCAAATTGAAACTTATCCAACCCTCTCTGCCCTTTAAAGTTCATCCAGCTCTAAAATATATACCAAAGCTGATCAAAGTAGTGATGGGGCACTGTCTAGTTAAAGCACTGAGTGGGGAATCACAAGATCTGGATTCTAGTCCCAGATATTCCACAGACTAGTTTTTCGTTGGCCTTAGATTTCCAAAAGGGTCTCTAGTTTTGGGTGCCTCAGCAGTTGAGTAAGACAATTTGACTCATATAGGGTCAAGCCAGTTGAAGCCAGTGGGAAGTGTGAGTGCTCAGTGCACCTGAAAATCAGGTTCTTAATTGTTTAAAGTTGAATACCAAAAAAAGTGAGGCACTCAAAACAAAATACCATTTTTGAAAGTTTGAAACTTAACTAGTTTGTTCCACCCTCCCTCAATATGTAAAATAGGGATCATGCCCACCTCCCAGCAACACTGTGGAACTGACTTCATTAATCTTTATTAAGCATTGTATGGTCCTTGATGGGAAGGTGCTATTGAATTACAAAATACTATTCATATTAATTATTTTTTTTCCAGTTTGCTTTTCACTAACAGAGCATTTTGGTTTGCAGATTTCCTGCCATCAGTGAAGAACCTCTTCGGAAATCCAGTTTACTTTCTATATTTGTGTGCAAGCATCATTCAGTTCAATTCTTTAATTGGCATGGTAACATATAAACCAAAATATATTGAGCAACAGTATGGGCAATCCTCTTCAAAAACGAATTTTGTTATAGGTATGTTAAGTCAACTTCTTGGTACCTTAAAAATGGAAACCTTTAGGATTGCCGATTGGTAGACAGAAATGGGCAAAAAATGCTTCTGAAGACTACTTTCTGCTCCCCTTGTAATATTTTTAAATATCAGATGCTGAACGTGAATCTGTTTTATCATTGGGTTTAGCATTTAATTAACTCTGAGTTTAAGTGTACGTAAGAGCTGCTGCAAGGGATTGTTGAGATTGCTGGTTTACTTACCCTTCTTCCAGAAAATATAAAAGAAAAATATCAGGCAATCACAAGAAAATAACTTAAATCAGGAATTAATTTTAAAATAATTTCTGTAAATATATATTTATAAGTATTGCTCACTTCCTGACTTCCCATTCCAACAAACTGAGCATCAGTTCAGAAAGAGGGGTAGGGACCTGTCACGGGGTCACTCACCACACTGGCGCCTCCTGCTGAGTGTTTCGGGAATTAGCTCAGCCCCAGTGGATGCACCCTTGTGTGATGGTGGCTCTCCCGTCCTCACCTCCATTTGAAGACCCCTTACGGCTCCTTCCTCTCAGCGTCTGCTTTGTGGCACAGCCCTCCCGCCATGTCACCATCCAGTTTCCCCCTCTTCTGGGGGACTCCTCCAGCAAGAGTCCAGCCACTCCTCGTAGCAGCTTGGCCGCTCCTTCAGTGAGGGGGACCCAGGCCCGCCCACTACTCCAGGTCCTGGCCCAGGGACCCTGCCAACAGCAGCTTCCTGCTGCCTCTTCCTTCCAGGTCACTGTCTTTATTCCCTGAGCCACTTCCCCGCAGCCTCTGTTCCTTCTTCTCCTGTCTCTGGCTCCAGCTCCTTTGCCCTCTTCCCCAGGGCCTCAAGCATGTAAGTCCTGGCAGCCTGCCAGGAGCCCTCTAGGAAGCCAGGCTTCTCCTTAGGGCTCCTTGCAGCAGACTAACCCACTCTGGTCTGCATCTTCCTTTTATATGAGCCGGCTGGGCTCTGATTGGCTGGTCCAGCCACCATCCTAATTGTCTGCAGCTGCCACCCTAATGGGCTGTTTCCCCTGTAGCCAGTCCTTTGGCTGCCTGCTGCTCAGCCTCCCTAGGCTGGTTTTAACCCTCTCAAGGCCAGTGTGGGGCAGGTGCCGCGTCACAGGACCCAATTATGGTGTAGCTGTAGCATCTCTAGACTTTATTAAGAAATTAGTTAAATAATGTTATTCTCAATTAACAGACGGAGGTAAAGAAAACCCGCTGGGCTTCATATTTACCTCCTATAAAATGCCTACAATTTTTAGTTATTTGCATGTGAGAATGTTCAAAAGAAAAGAATAGGTGATGCTGAAGTGAGCCACAGTGACATGACTTAGCAGGTGGCTCAATTGTCCTACTTTGCTCTTACTGTAAGACACCTCTTCCTGCTGCCTTCCTGTTGGTCTGTGCTATGCTGCTTGTTCCCCAGTTCCAGATCACACCTTCCTACTGCTGACTTCATCCTTCCCCCATTTCCAGGCTGTATCAATGTTATAGTGCATTCTCCATGAGACTTAAGGGAGATATAACATGTTCTCACCCATAAACTATCACCTTGCCCTGCAGAGAGTCCTTACTGGGGCTGGGGCAGCACTGTCCCCGTTCATACAGAAAGGGGTAGATCCACCAGACAAGGTACCTTTCATACATAGATGGAGTGGGGACAATCCCTGGTTATTTAATTTTATTTCACTTGTTACAGTGAGCCTGTCATGAAAAGAGTACCCCAGTTGCAGTGGCCTAGATATTCAGTGCTGTCCTTGTATAGACCTTGGAGGCACTTCTTCATGCACTTTCTAAAGTTCATAATTGTGTTTAACATTTGGTTGGACTAGGAGTGTAATCCGGTATAATATCAAAGTATGCCATTAATCATACTGAGTCATGGTTAAATTTGGCTGCACCTGGGATGCCCTCTGTGATATTCTCTGTAAAGCCATTACCATTCAAACTCCTGCTCAAGATCCACTTCTAGCATGATGTCGATAACATTGTGTCCACCTAATATTGCTTATGTCAAAATCTACATTAACTCATCTGCTGCTATGTGATTTCTCTTAATAGAGAGTCTGGAAGTTGACATGGGCTTTTTTTCCCCTCTGTTTGAACTAGATATCTTACAAATAATAGCAAAGGTCATGTCCCCCGTAATTGCGGATTGCTTTATATTCAATCAGGTGTTTGTCTTAAGCAGGGGTCGGCAACCTTTCAGAAGTGATGTGCTGAGTCTTCATTTATTCACTCTAATTTAAGGTTTTGCGTGCCAGTCATACATTTTAACATTTTTAGAAGATCTCTTTCTATAAGTCTATAGTATATAACTAAACTATTGTTGTATGTAAAGTAAATAAGGTTTCAAAATGTTTAAGAAGCTTCATTTAAAATTAAATTAAAATGCAGAGCCCCCTGGACCGGTGGCCAGGACCCAGGCAGTGTGAGTGCCACTGAAAATCATCTCGCGTGCCGCCTTTGGCATGCGTGCCATAGGTTGCCTATCCCTGGTCTTAAGTATGCATCAGAATGCATCAGCTCAATGAAGGAATGTAAAGCTGTGTAAAACAAAGGCTCTCATTTCTTGGCAACATCTTTAGGATGGTGAATCTCAGCATGGCCATTTGGGGAAGCCTGGGGTTTGAATTAAATTACTGAGTTTCAGTGTCTCAACCATATTAGACAACAAGGAGGTTTGCATCTAATACAGAAAAGACTGTCTTCATTTCATGGATCTCAAGACACAGCACAGCAACAGAGGTATACATATGCAGAAAAGCCACATTGATCCATTGTGCTATGTTAATTCCTTGAAGATAGAAGTTGGAATTTCCTGGCATGAGACCCATAGAAATGTAGACAAGTAAAGGTGATGGCCAGAAAAGCATTCAAAACAATTCATATAGGCAATACAGTAGTTTGCATTGTATATAAAGATTTTCCTAGTGCTAAGCTTTCAACTATGTGTGAAATGATTTAGGATTAATACCCATCTAATTTCACAAAGCTCTGGAACCATGCTTGGCAAAGGCTATGTGACTCTGCTGTGTTTGAAAGAGTTCTAGCTGTATTGCCATCACTAGAAGGCAGATCACTGAATTCCTCCCTGACACAAAGCATGGTTCGGGCAGCCAACAATGACCTTCCTGAGGATCTCTGCCTGAATTCCTGTGATAAATATCAGGATTAGCAAAGGCTGTAAGAGGTCTGAAGCATAGCAACTACAAAACAGTTGGCGGCGTTAAATAGTTACAGGACAAAAGGGGCACTGCAGGATTCTTACACCAAAGAATATTCAGAAGAGCCAAAGGGGCCTGATGCATTCTTTAGGCAAACTTTTGCTACTTTTTAAAGTATTGTTTGTACCACTCTCAGAGATGAGGCTCAAACACAACAGAACTGGACATGGTCCCTGCTCTAACGCGTTTACCAGCTAGGCTTTAGAGCTGGCACCACAAGAGAGAGCCAGCACTGTAGAACTAGCAAGTTGAGAGGATTGGGATGACATATATATAAATAAGATCCTGGAGTGACTCTCTTAGCTCATGCATACGGCATTGTAAACACTGCTTTCTAAAAATCGTAAAGTGGGATTTTTAGAAGCACTGAGTTGTCAAATTTCTATTGCTATAGATACCAATAGGAGTTTTATCTTTGACTTCAATGGGAGCAGAATTAGCCCCACGCCAAACACTTTTGAAAATCCCAGCCTTCATTAGTTGTCTTCCTATAGGCTTTGTGGCAGAAATTAGCTTTATCTTGTTTTATTCTTAGTTTATTACAAAATATTGATAGGCATGTTTACCTCCACTATGTTCATTTTCAAATCGGTGAATTCGTATAGTTTCCTATAAAGATGAATGTTTAAAGAAACATGCAATTAAAATATATATCACAATGCTTCCTCATTCAGTGGTAAACATATCATTTGTACAAGCTATACAGTGAAAGTGTTACTGGTATGTATGCAGTAAACCTCTGAGCAATGTATATCTATGGAAAATATTGACTTGCATATAATATATATAAAAAAGAAGAACAGGAGTACTTGTGGCACCTTAGAGACTAACAAATTTATTAGAGCATAAGCTTTAGTGGACTATGCATCCGAAGAAGTGGGCTGTAGTCCACGAAAGCTTATGCTCTAATAAATTTGTTAGTCTCTAAGGTGCCATAAGTACTCCTGTTCTTCTTTTTGCGGATACAGACTAACACGGCTGTTACTCTGAAACATATAATATATATATCACTGTTTTCTATTGGATTGAATAAGATCTATTCTAATAATTAATAGGCCATCTAGTGACTGTCTTCTAAGCCTACTTTAACAAAAACAACGAGGAGTTCGGTGGCACCTTAAAGACTAACAGATGTATTTGAGCATAAGCTTTCGTGGGTAAAAAACCCACTTCTTCAGATGCATGGAGTGAAAATTACAGATGTAGGCATTATTATACTGACACATGAAGAGAAAGGAGTTACCTAACAAGTGGAGAACCAGTGTGGACAAGGTCAATTCAATCAGGGTGGATGTAGTCTACTCCCAATAATTGATGAGGAGGTGTCAATGCCAGGAGAGGGAAAGTTGCTTCTGTCATGAGCCAGCCACTCCCAGCCCATATTCAAGCCCAAATTAATGGTGTTAAATTTGCAAATGAATTTTAGTTCTGCAGTTTCTCTTTGAAGTCTGTTTTTAAAGTTTTTTTCTTCAAGTATGGGTACTTTTAAATCTGTTATAGTATGTCCAGGGAGATTGAAGTGTTCTCCTACTGGCTTTTGTATGTTACTATTCCTGATGTCCAATTTGTGTCCATTTATTCTTTTACGTAGAGACTTTCTGGTTTGGCCAATGTACATGGCAGAGGGGCATTGCTGGCACATGATGGCATATATCACATTAGTAGATGTGCAGGTGAATGAGCCCCTGATGGTGTGGCTGATGTGGTTGGGTCCTATGATGGTGTCGCTAGAGTAGATATGGGGACAGAGTAGGCAACGAG